TGAACAGTTTCTGCAGAATTTTTACTCACTGTTCCCATGTCTAAACAGAGAACAAGACCAAGTTGTTTGAAGTGGGTTTAATAGCCCAGGTGTTAGTTTTCTTTGGTGTTTTTCAGTGGAGAGATCTTTCAACATCTTTTTAACAAGGCTGGCTTTCTACCAAGAATGATGGCTCTTGCTCAGCGGTAGAATAGTTATCATCATAGTGATGCCTGGTTTACATTAATCTTTTAAAATAAAAATTGTATCTGCTCATGAACTGCAGGACCTTTATTACCAGTCATATTCACAAGTAGGAGTGATGTTTGCTTCCATCCCCAATTTCAATGATTTCTACATTGAACTGGACGGCAATAACATGGGAGTGGAATGTTTACGCCTGTTGAATGAAATCATTGCTGATTTTGATGAGGTAAGGTCTAACCACTTTCTCTTTTGACCCTATCAGTTCTACCAAATTACTGTCAACAGAGATGATCTGTAGCAGCTCGGTGTATCTCGAAGTGCCTAATGAAACAGTACTGGAAATGTCCTGTTTAATGGTAGTTGGTGTCCATTGGGCTTCTCCAAAGTGCCTAGTTTGTACTTGTAGGCACATGAGTCTGACCTCAGACTCCTCTAATGAATGCAGGAAGAGTATTAAAATGCGAGTTAACGGCAGTTTTTTTAATGACCTCAAAGTAGGCAAGCCTGAACTTACTAAAAATAATAGTTTAATCAACTTGCACATATTATCTGATAACTATGGTTGCTTGTCTAAAATATTATGTAATATTTAACAGTTTTATGTTTTAAACAAAGCTTATGGACAAAGAATATTATAAGGACATAGAAAAGATCAAGACAATTGGAAGTACATATATGGCAGCTGTGGGACTCGTGCCTACTTCAGGAACGAAGGTAAGGGGATTTTATGGATTCTCCTTCAATTTCCAGAGAAGTATCAGATCTGTGTGATGATAGATAACTTCTGTTACTTCTTTACAACAATTTAAATCTGAAATTTAAAGAACAACAGTAGCCTGAAAAGAAAAATTGCTCCAAAATCAGCTCTTCCTTGTCTCTGCTGCTGGCATTCTTTTTACCTCTTTAATTACTCAGCAATAAGAAAAGTCAAAGTCATTTCAGACCTACTTGTTCTAGGGCACAGTTCTTCTGTATCCTCATTACTACTCCTGAGTATGTTTCTCACCTTAAGTTTGTATCTTGGGACAGAGATTTCCTAGATTTGCATGCAGCACCTAGAAAAGCAAAGAACTCTCTGGGATAGCATACTGAATATATTGTATACAGAGTACTGTGCACATCAATAATTATATTAATAAAATTAGTTTATGAAAAAATATAAAATTAATTTATGAAAAAATATAAAATAATATGAGGAATATAATGAAGATTAAATCAATCCATGTACCTAGTCTGCTGAGAATTTCCAGACACCTCTCCCCTGCTCTGATACACGAGTACATCTGTTGTAGAGGTACACTCAAAATAACACCAAATTAGAGGGCAAAAGCACAAAAGGCCAGAAGATGGCCTGTGAACTTTCCAGCAACAATTATCCTTGTAAAGTAAATAAAAAACAAGGCCACCCAGAAATCAAATGTTAGAATCGTGTTGGAGTATATCACATGCAGCTGGTTTTCTGGTCTGCAGGGTATTTACAGCTGATGCTTTCCTTTGTACCATTCCTAGAAATCTACACGTTACTCAGAGGTATTTTTAAAACTCTGTTTGTGCTGAAATGTTTGGCTCCTGGGTCCTGAGACAGGCAAAAAAAAAAAAGATCCTTTGAATTTTGTTCGGTGTGATCTCAGGCAAACAGGCCATGGCATACCTGTGTGTCTGCTATAAATGCCCTTTGAACTATAATCCTGAAAACAAGGGTGTTGTTGGGTAACTTTGGCAGCATATGTTCCAAAACCTAAACATGTTTATCTCTTGTATTTTATAGTTGCTAACTGAAGGGTCAGCTGAGTTAGCCCAGAACTGAAGATACTGCTCTGAGCTTATGATAGTATCGCGTTTTAAATCACTGCAGAAGGTCTGGTACAGGACTCTGCCTTGCTCTGAAATCTTGGGGCAAATTTTGATCTTTTCTGGACAGGTAGAATTTATTTAACATTCTGTATTCCAGAAAACCTAAAGCTCTTCTATGAAACAGACAATATTTTGTACTTTAACTTTGGGTTTCAGCTCTTCTGTGATCTCTTCCCACTGCTCGTGTGATGCAACCGAGTAGAATCATTGAATCATGGAATGCTGTGAGCTGGAAGGGACCCACCAGGATCATCCAGTCCAACTCCTGTCCCTGCACAGGACAAGCCCAACATTCACACCATGTCCCTGAGGGCACATGTTGGCCAAATGCTGCTGGAATCTTGTCAGGCTTGGTGCCATCAGCACCTCCCTGGGGAGCCTGTTCCAGTGCTCCACCACCCTCTGCCTCAAGAACCTTTTCCTCATGGCCACCCTCCCCCTCCCCTGCCACATCTTCCTGCCATGTCCTCTGCTCCTGGCATTGGTTGGTGGCCAGAGAGAAGAGATCAGCGCCTGCCCCTCCTCTTCCCCTTGGGAGGAAGTTCTAGACCCCCATGAGGACTCCTCTCAGTCTCCTCTTCTCCAGGCTGAACAAACCCAGTGACTTCAGCCTCTCCTCACACGGCTTCTCCTCTAAACCCTTCACCAATTGCGTGACCTTAGAGTAGAAATTGTTCACATCCTCTTGGCATTTCCCGCTCGGACTGCAGCTTGCAGCTCTCTGTTAGAAGTCTGATGGTCCTGGGTAGCCTGTCATGCGCAGACAGTCACTGCCAACTGTCACACAGTCCCCAGGCTGCCCTACCGAGTCAGATGTGCCCATGGGGAACCATAAGGGACTCAAGTGCTTCTGGTTTCCCCTCTGCCAGGGGTGTCCCAGCTTCACCAGAGCATCTGGCACAGCCTCTGATTGAGAGCCACCGATTTTGGACATGAGCAGAAAGCAGTGGATGGGGTTAACTGTGCTCTTGACTGGGGACATTTACACACATAAGAACCCCAAACCCTGATGAAGTTCAGTGTTTAAACCCCCTATTTTACAGGATGTTGTTTCTGTAGCTTGACTTCAGCAGGTGACTGCAGTCCATGCCCATTGCCTCTGTCAGAGTGCTTTTGCTGTGATGCTCTGGGCAGTCCTTCCAGTAACTATTCCTCTGATGTTTAAATAAATAATTGCTTGCCAGTTACACCATCGGCGCAGCACACAGACCAAGCTCTTTGTACATCTTTTGCACAACATGAGTTCATTGTGTGTTGTGGAGCCCTTTGAAATTACGTCTGCGATTTCACCAGGGTCCTGACTGTGTGGTGGTGTTCAGCACAGGTTCAAAAGAGTTGGCCAGTAATCCTTCTGAGAGGCATCTGTCACCTCCAGCATGTCCAGTGTTTGTCACCAGTCCTCTCTCCTGCAACCCCAAGGGTCATTGCAGGAAATCAAAGCATTCATTGGGCAGCAAAGAAATGGAAGGTTAAGGAATATAAAGGTTAGAGGATTAAATAAAACTATTCATTCCTCCCTCCCTCCTCCAGACATTCCATACTCCTCCTCTTCTCTACTGAAAGTGTACCCATCAGCTCTTTAAACTTAATTCTTGTTCTTCTTTTGTCTTGGTGAGGCTGGAAAAGAGTAGAGCTAGTTGAAGTTGCAAGAAGCAGAATGCCAGAGACCCAGGCAGGTAAATAAAAATTCCCTTCCTAAAATATTAGGACTGGCCCAAGGATGACTTTCATCGTTATTTGTTAGCACCTCGCTCTCATTTTTGACAGTTTCCCAGCCACAGGAAGGAACCTTTTCAAAGGGAGCCAGGTAAAGCAGGCAGCAGCCTGTTCCTCAGGTGTCTCAGCACTGCCAGGCACTCTGTTTGTACCATCTCACTGTCACGACACAACCCCAGTGAGCTCTCATCCCACGCCAGCTGCCCCAGCCCTGTTGTGCAACACCCTACTGAAGCTGGACTGCTGCTGACCCCCCGCTCTTCTTTCACCACATCCTGCCTTTAGCCCACTTTCACTTTAAAAATCTGCTCAAGAATTCATATTTATTATTCACAAAAGAGCACAACATAAGAGCAACCAGAGTGAGTCAGGTCCAAGGTCTGTTCTAGTGACCAATGGTAGATCCTGGGGGAAGGACACGAGTTACAGGACAAACGTGCAAACCTCTCTTTTCCACTTTCTAATGATACGCTGCTTAAGAGATTCTAGAGCTACAGATAATCTCTTTTCACTGCATTGTAGCAAATATTTCTTCCTTGAGCTTGAGTAATTATGTTTGAATCTAGCTAACTTTTGGAATTAACAATATCCTCTGAAAGTGAGTTCCACAGTTTAATTAGTTTAATTGTAAAAATTATTTTCTTAGGTTTTGGAGGTTTTTTTGCAAGTTGATACATCAATATTTCATTTGATCCCTTCTGGTTCTTTGGCTTTAGTTCATTTAAATACATTTTATAACAACTCTCTTCAGCTTGCCTGGAAAGGGAAGAAAACAGGGGTGTTCTGCATCTCACAGGATTAAACTCAACAGGAATTTTGTCATTGGGAACAGCACACGCCCCATGGAGCTTCTCCCAAAGGGAGAAGAGGGCAGAAACTCTGGTTATTAATAATCATCAGGCAGGGCAGTTGTGTAAGAAAGCAGGTTATATCCCCTGCCACGCTCACAACAAACATCTGCAGCTCTCTAGCAACAGAACCACTTTACCACGGGAAATTTGCTTTCCATTCTTCCCAGAAGTCAAAAAAAGAGAGAGAGAGGAAGAAAAAAAATCAGTGCTTGAGAGAAGAACGCCCATGCTGTAGCTCCCACCAAGTTTCTTTTCACAAACAGCTAGATGGTTAGATTATTTTTTCCCTAGGCCATCCAGTCTGAGCTTTTCATTGTTTTTCACGTCAGTATTTCCCCTGCCTCTCAGTACCGTACACATCTAACGTGCAATGCTATTTTGTTTCTAGGCTAAAAAATCAATTTATTCCCATCTGAGTACACTGGCAGATTTTGCAATAGAGATGTTTGACGTTCTGGATGAAATCAACTATCAGTCTTACAACGACTTTGTTCTACGCGTCGGTAAGTCACCTTTCTGTGATTATGGCACAAGCAGAACGTTGTTCTTTGATGGCTTTCCCTTTGCTGTCTGCAGTGATCACCTGTCCTGCACTCATGGTCAAAGCTGGAGAGCCTGCGTTACTGGGAGAGTCACATCCATGTAGGCTGGATGGTGAACAGCAGTTTTAAGGAACTACCACTGTCTCCAATTCCAGTGTGTTTACTTAATCTGCACCCCCCTGAGAGGAAACTGTACTGATAATTTTATACAATATTATTATTAATGTGCCCAGTCTGGGGCTCACGCTGCTTTGCATTGCTGAACTGTTGAAAACTGGATCTGACTGTACTTCACTACTATGTTAAGTTGCATCTGCAGAAGTTTTGTTGGCATTAAAAGTGTGATGGGAGCTTTTAGTCCACAGGTGCCAAATCACCTCAACCAGTCCTGTTTCCCCAACGAGTAAAATCCTCTGATCTTCACAACACAAACCTTCTCACGCCGTCCTTGACACTGTATTGCATGTCTCACCTCTGCGAGTCCTTCCTCCCAGCCTTGGAGAGCCAAGTTCCCCGCTTCCCTTCCCTCCCTGCATCCTGCTCCTCTCCAAGGATGCTTCCACTGCTGTTCTCATGTCACTGCACATTCTAACACCGATAGTCTTCTCCAGCTTCTTTCTCTATGTATTTTCATGGCTGAATTGTGAGAATGGGCTGGACAAGGGGAAAAGTGGAGGTTGCTAGCAGGAGAGGGTTGAGAAGGACCAGGCATTAAGGCTAGCAATAGGAGAGTTACGCATCTTTGCCCTCCTGTACATTCAAATCATTATAAACCCCAAATTCACTTTGAAATCTGTTATAATTGGTCTTTCCAGATTCACAAAGGGGCAGAAGACAAACACCTAGCCCTCATTCTTCTGCATAACGTGCCTGGGAAAGGCCTTGCACAGAGCCTCATGCAGGGTCTAGCATCTGCAGCTCACCAGGGCACTCAGAAGAAGCGATATCCTCTTTTATCTTCCAAACAAATTGTCAAAACCAGGCAGAAATGTAGAATCAAGCCCTGGGGTTTCCCAAAACGAGATGCTTGAGCCACGTTCGCATGCTCTTGTCTTCCATTGTCCCTGATCCGAATTGTCTTGTACTGACAGCCAACGTGACACGCTTCCCTTACCCCATTCCTTGGATCTTCCAGGCCACTATTTCTGCCCCACTTGGAAAACCTCCATTAAAAGGCTTGACATGAGCAACCACAGTGGAAGTTGTAGCAAACAATTGAAGACCTTTAACAGTTTGTCCTGAATTGTTCTGCAGCTAAACCCTGCACTTACCACTGCTTTTCTTCTTTTCTTAAAACAAACAGAAAAAGAATGTCCGTAGATGAGCCAGTGTTTTAATGTTGTCTGTCATATTGCATTTCCAATAAGATATCTCTTTATTTTGTTTCTAAACCTCTTACAAATAGAGAAGTCCAACTGGCATTAATTTAACATATATTATGTCCTATGACCAGCAGACTTCTAAGGCACTTGTGTTCAGTTTTTCAGGATGTCTGTTTTGCAGGATTCCTGTTTCCCTCGGATAATGTGCTGTAGAGTTTGAAACCAAAGCCCTTGTTTTGATTGTAGGTATTAACGTGGGGCCGGTAGTGGCTGGAGTCATTGGAGCCAGGAGACCCCAGTATGATATCTGGGGGAACACTGTCAACGTTGCCAGCCGCATGGACAGTACCGGAGTGCAGGGGAAAATCCAGGTGGGCACATTCCCAGATGATTTTGCCAACGTTCCATACCTCCTGTTTTATATGTGGTTACACATTCAACACCGCTTGAAAAACACAGCCTGACTCGGTCTTGCGGTCCTTACGAAAAGGGCAGCGTTCTCCAGCCGACTCCAGCGTCAGAGGTGTAGTTGTGTTCTGTTACATACACTTCTCTGCTTGGAGGCAGTGACATCCTCAAATAAATCATTTCCCACCAGAAGGACCGGAGCTCTCTGCTGCATTGCACAGTTGGAGGCCAGCCTGGGATCGCTGACACTGCACCAGCCAGTCCTTGTGCTGTCAGAATTTTGCCTGAATAAGGACTGCAAGGAAAGGATCTGTGTCTGTTTGTATCCTGCTGCATTTTATGTGGCTTTATTCCTTGAGTACTTTGGATCGGGGAGGCTACACAGAGAGAGAACGTTGTTGTTGTACTAGAGCTTGGCTAGAAGCTGAGCTGTGCCTCGCAAAATCTCAGTGAACTCTTGCAGTCCTTTATCCAAAATACCTGTCTAGTTTCCAGAGATCAAAAGTTCCTCTGGAGTAAATTAACGTCACTGGAACTGATCCAGCTTACAACGATGGACAACTTGATTACACATTTCTGCTGGACGGCGCTTAGTCTGGCTGTGTCCTTATTCAGCTCCAGACCAGAAGTTCTGCTTCTCAGATTCCAGTTTGGTCAGGGATTTTTAATTCCTTAAGAAAAGTCCTAAGTGAGCCCGAGAGCAGCAGTAGCAGGTGCTAAGTCATTCTGCTTATGCATATTTCATGGCAGAGAAGTAAAATCATGGAATGTTGTGAGTTGGAAGGGACCCACAAGGATCATCCAACTCTTGAGTAGAGTCCAACTCTAAAATGGGGAGGGGTGGGCAGTTCTAGGATTAAACTTACATGAACAGGAAAAACTAATAGTTCTTTTTTTGTCTGTCTTCAGGTGACAGAAGAAGTCCAGCGGATACTAAAAATGTGCAGTTACGAATTTGTGTGCAGAGGTAAAGTCAGTGTAAAGGGAAAAGGCGAAATGTTGACCTATTTCCTGGAAGGAAAGGCCGATGGAAATAATTCACAAACACGGTCTTTAAACTTAGAGCGGAAAATGTACCCTTACGGGAGAGCAAACATCCAAACGAAACTGGGCACCAGCTGCGCCTCGGTGTCCTCAGGCTCTAGCTTTACTGTAAACGCTGGCCTTGGAGCTGGGCAAGCCTCCGCCACTCACTCAAATCAAACACTGCATTATCTTCCCTCTGTGCCAGCCGTGAAGGAGGCGTAGAGCAAAGGAGGTTTGGTTGTGCCATTTGCCGTGAACTCGGAGAGCGGTGGGTGCCTGGATTGTCACCGAGAGATCAGAGCTCACCGGCCGTGGCATTAACCAAGGACCACTACAACCCAACCAAAGAGAACTTGGGGACTGCATAACGAACTCTTGGGATGGAACATATAAGGGCTAGCAATTCTGTTAGGAAAAGTCAAAACCTGATTTTTCTGGAAATGAGGAATATTTTCTTGGCATTTTTAAAGGGTAAATGAAAAAAAAAAACCCCGAGATAAACGTGCAAGCAATTATTTATGTGTGTGTGTGTATATATATATGTTTTAATCTATATATGCACATATACAAACAGTTCTGTGTAGACTTAATAGAGATTTATAGAGTTATACATAAAAATATGTATTTATTTACACATCCACCTGCAATGACATAGCAAAGAGATTTCTCTTTCTGTCATGGCCAGCGTTGGTGGGTCTGGGATTAGCAAAGCTGCATTCAACTGTGGAGCGTGGGGCAGCTGGAGACTCTCCGGGGCTACAGCAAGAGCTAGGGAACTGTGCTCCCTGTGCACGGGTAAAAGCAACGAGAGCAGCCTTCATTGTGCTGTCAGTGGCAGATTAACCAGGGCTGCATTCAGCTAACTGCTAAATCCTGTGTATTTTTAAAAAAATACTCCTCGCATGCTCCAAAAACTTCAAAAAAAATTTCAATTCAAACCATAACACTAGGATATGAAGTAGATAAACCACAGAGCTTAAAGGTTTGGCAGAAAAACAATATATATATATATTTTCCATTTAAAAAAGAAGAAAAAAGCAAAAAGAGTGGTAAAGGTGAGAAGCTGCTGCCTCTTCACAGGTGGCTCCGTGGAAGCCAGAGGAGCACCCTGCAAGCACAGCAATATGCTCATGCAGTAGCGGCCCATTCCTCTACGAACAGCGCTGGTTTGGGGAAGAGCAGGAGGATGGTGGTTTTTCAGGCTTTCACAAAGAGCACAGCTCCTGTGGCTCAGTTCCAGGACTGAGCCTTGCCTTTCTGAACAGCTCAAAGGATACCCCTGTGCTGGTGACAAACGTGCTGTTGCTGTTTGCCAACAAGAGTCCTACTGCTTAACTGATTTTTAAATTAATGCCACGGTTTTATTATATCTTGATTCTACCCAGGCTCACTCTTCAAAGCTGTACAGTTACAGGAAGCTGTGGGATTTGGGTCGTGTCCACTTTAACTCATGCAGTTGCATTTCTTCTCTTGCATTTATTAATTTTCTGGTCAAGCTCTGTGGCTTTTGCCCGGGTGATGTTGCTGTAGCCCCAGCAAGGAGCCAGTTCTGCCCCACGGTGCCCACAGGTCCCTCACGTTTAACTGAGGATGGCGATGTGCGGCATCATGGGCAGAATAACCTCCTGCTCTTCTGCCCACTGTTCTGTGCAGCTCCCGGAGGGAAACAATTACCAGAGACCAGCCCCACGACAAAGCGACGCCGTTTTGGCACGTTGGTGTCTGTCAGTAGCAAGCACAATATTTCACATCGGTTTGCACGTTTTCTCTTTCAGATAATAGTAATAATCAAAGTCTTTCGTTCTTTATATAAGGAGAGAAGTGTCAGAGATCTTCAGACTTTGCTGTCTTGGGAGCTCATTTCAAAGTGTTCCTACGCTACCTTTATCTTGAAATGATTTTTTTTTTAATTCTTATGCTCTGCTGAGATTACAAACTGGCATTTGGCTGAATTCCTGGCTAGATATTTCCAAACGTTCCCACTGACTAGAACACTATTTTATCCAGCCTGTAAAACGCGTTGGTTTTTGTAGCTGCTCCCTGCCGTGGCGAGTCACACTCCCAAAACACACTCAAATTCTCCCTTGTTGGCTCTAGGTGAGACCCAGAGCCAAAGGCATCGGCTCGTTAGGGCTGAACCTGCATCCCCGATGTACCCGTGGGGCCTGCAGAGAGCACCAGGAGCTCGGCACGCTCGTGGAGGTCGGGAGTGGAGCTTCTGTAGGCCAAGTTCTGCTTTGGGTTACGGCCGCGCCTGGTGTCGGTGCCCAGCTGGGTACTTCCCAGCACTGTAACCAAGAGTAGGTTGTGCGCCTCGATCTCTTTCACGCTTTTGTCTGTAATTTATCCACCAGGCAAAAGAAAGTGCTTGGGAGTCACGGTTTGAAGGGAAACCGTCTCTGACCTGTGCCATTTCAGTGCTTGGAGGAGTCTGAACACGTTAGTAAGTAGCGTGAACCGTTCTCACGTGTTGAATTCCTGCTTGTAGCAGAAACAAAGCATTTTCTTTCCATCAGCAAGTCCAGATTCTGTGCGTGTTCTGCCCAGGCAGGAGGACTATTTAGCCATAACGTTCTTTCAAGTTAGAGTTTTGTATTACAGTGAAAAAAAACAACATTTTTTAATTTGTGATAAACCTGTATTATAATGCCTTATTTATTTTTAATCTTGTACAGTGTTACAAAAAAAACATTGGCCTTTCATGTATTATTCACTTTAAAAGATGTATTGTATTATGAAATTTTGTAAATAGTTTTAGCTTGAACAGGTAATTGCATGTACACTTGTATAAAAAGAGGCAAAAAGGCACACTTTTAACAAATGTTAACGATTTTTGTAAGAGACATTTTACATGTGCATGGAGATTATAAATCTTTTGGAAATGGACGTCCTTTTGCTTTTCCTTGCAATCTATTGCATGCCACTCATGCCTGACTTTGGTAAAACGAAATGGTAAGTTTTCCTAAATGTTTTTGACATATCACTTCTGGCACAGAGTTAAATCCACTAGTTGCATGTGCGTTCAGCAAAGCAAAATCAAAATGCAAACAGCAAATAAAGAAGAAAAAAACAATTTAATGATTGTGATCTGCCAACCTCAGTGTTCCAAGATCCATAATGCAGTATATGAAAAGTGTGATCGACATCTCTGCTGTCTTCATAAAGTACCTTCTGGTCATTAGAAGCAATAAACTCTACTTACTGTAATATAAAAAGCAAGCAGATACTCTAGTTCCTACCGGTGTCGTACCTGGCATTCAGTGGGTATCCTCTGATACTGCACTCGAGGTAGGACTGTTGTGGAGAAGGACCAGGTGTCAAACCCATCGTTGCTGTGTGCAGGTGCAACCCTCTGGAAGGTGAAGGAGGTGAATTTGGCCCATTGACGTTACCCAGAGTACATTTCTAATGTGGTAATAAGTTATTGTATGGGAAAAGTACATGATGAAAAGAGATTGTTTCCTAGGTACATACATATGTATATATATGTATGTGTATATATAAAAATTCATTGTGTTGCCTTATTTTTGTTTGCTTTTTTGACTCATTTTTCCAAATTTTCTATTGCTAAGCAGCAAGTATTTACCAGAACTCTTAGGAGAAGGTTCACTGGGTGCTGTGCTGATGCTAGTCCTCCTCCCACTAAAGCCCTGCTTATAGGGATGCCTCCCTTGGGCATCACAGCTTCAGTCCCATGTCAGTGAGTGACCTAGGAACAGGACATAGCTATCCCACCCTCTAGGTGGTTTTTCCTGCATTACTGCTGAACAGAACTTAAAATTCTGGAGATATTTTTAAGGTTGTCATATCTGTGTCACTGCTGCTCAAATGACAAATGTAATTGCTGTATGATAAACGAGGAGCAGTGTAGAAGTGCAACACTGAGGCTGGTGGCAGAGGAGAGAGGCTGTGGACTGTGGGTGCTTTCTCCTATGGATTAATAAGGACTTCTTGTATTTTACAGATTTATAGTAGGACTTGGAAATCGTTGATTTGTTGGTTTAATCGGGTGACTGTGGGGTTAACTCAGCAGCACAGCTTCTGCAGGTACTTCTGTCCCCATAGGTGTAGATTAATAGAGCGTCTCCCAGTCACTGCACACAAGAGCCACTGCCTTGTGCTGGCGACTGGCTTCATACAGCAGCTCAGGGTTTCTGACAGTCAGGAACCAGCTCATCTCAAATTCAGTGGGTTTTACATCTCCCTGTGGCATCATTGTGACAATCTGGACTCTGCTTCTCTACCCCAACCCTGTTTTTCCAGAACTCTCTATAGGCTTTTTTTAAACTCTTCATTCCTTTTAATCCCATCTTCTCACTGAGTTTTCAGGCCAAATCTAAACCATAAATAGATGTGTAAATGTAAATCAATGGGGAAAAAAGTGCACATAAGGGGGGGCTGAAAGTTGCTCTTTAATTACTCCTCAAAATGTCACACTGTTTGGGTGACCTGATGTGTTTTACAATCTGATTGATGCAAGGACAAAAAAAGGAAAAGGGGAAAAAAAAAAAAAGCACAAAGTTAGCAGGAGTACAAAATAACAAAAAGAAAATAAGGCTGTGGGATAGCAGTGGCTGAAAGGAAAAGGTGAAAAGCCAGTACTCCTTCTGAGGTCAGTGAGACATGGGACAGGGCTTGAGTACCTGAGCTGGCAGTGTACTCAACCAGATCCCTGGTGCAGCACAAATGAGGCTGGTGTTTAAGGGCACGGCCAGGTCCCTCTCTGAGCTTTCACATCTGATCGCGCTCACGCGAGCGTCCGAGATCTCTTGGCAAAGTGCTGTCAAAATTTCAGAAGGAATTACTGGAAACGGTTGGGGGTTGTCACCTCTAATGCCCTTTTTTCTGATCGTGAGGAAGCACCTTGAGATTTGAGTTGGCATTGGTCAGTGCCCGCAGCCTACGTGCTGAAAGGACGTGGTTCTGCTCGTGCCTTACTGCATGCTGGAGGATCTGCTGCTTTATATACTAGGATCCCCGTTTTATGCCTTCTGTGGCATCAGACGTGTCACACCTGCATAAAACTGAAGGAACACACAGTGCTGCATCACTGTGAAGCTTTTCTAGGAATCCCTTTCCTACTTTGGTTTACTACCAGCACAGCTATGTGGGTGCAAGGGGTGTCTATGGCTGGGGGCCATACACAGGTATAAAGCTAAGTCAGAGATTTCCTAGAAAGCTCAGAACACCCTGTGAGCTGAGTTCTGCAGAAAATCTGTGCAGATAGTTTGGAGGTCCTTTGGAAAAGCTGGCTGTCCTCCTCTTCACACAACACCTGGATGTAAAACATCCAGAACATTTACCTGCAGCTTGTAACGGCCCCACCGCATTGGCTAGCCGTCGGTCAGAGCGCGGGTGGTACCAGAGCCGGCGGCTCTGGCTGTGGGAAGGCTGAGGTGTGCTTTAATTACCGTGGTGGTGCACACCAGCGTGTCTTATTTTCAAGTGCCTGACTTGCTGCTTTGGTCCT